AATTTTCCAGAAGCTGTCCTTTGCCGAGAAAGAAGGGGAATGTGTTGTTGCTGTTTCCTGCCACTGTAGTGTGAGAATTTCAAAACCTGGTTTTTCACTGTGCTTTTTTTTTTTAGGTTTATTTATTTTTGAGAGACAGAGTGTGAGCAGGGGAGGGGCAGAGAGAGAGGGGGAGACACAGAATGCGAAGCAGGCTCCAGGCTCCGAGCTGTCGGCACAGAGCCCGGCACAGGGCTTGAACCCACAAACTGTGAGATCATGACTTGAGTTGAAGTCTCGGACGCTTAACCCACTGAGCCACCCAGGCGCCCCTCGCTGTGCTCCTTTGAAGATGGGTGCTAAATTATTTTGCTAGCGGGGAAACAGACGTGAAGCAGGAGAGCGACTTCAAATTTTAGATAGATGTGTTTACTGAGGACTTCCTGTGTGCAAAGGCAGTCGGCTGAACACCCACAACACCGACAACAACAACAACAACAACAACAACAACAACAACAACAACAAATGCATCAGACATATCCTCTGTCCCCCAGGAACTTGCTGTCTGGAGATGGACTTCCACCTTCGCAGAAGGGAGAAAGTATCAGAAGGCGAGCTTACAGGGCGCATGTGCTTGAGGGGCAGAGGAAGGGCCCTTGAAGGCTGGCGGAAGGCGGGGGTGGCGGTCAGGGGCAGGTGCCCCAGCTAGGGCATTGCAGACAGGAAATGCTGGACACAGACGGGGGGCCTGGCAGATATGTGACACGTTCAGGGGTCCCTGTGCTCAGGAACCTGGACACCTTCAGGGACCAACAGGTCAGTACAAGACTGGGGCCCAGTGTGGAAGACTGGCAAACCGGGACAGGTCCTTAACTGGCCAAGTATGGCCATGCCACAGTGCCGGCTCACGGTTCCCTAATCTTTCCTTTCTTTCCAAGAGAAGCCACTGAGTCTGAGTGTCCACATGAACCCTAGAAGATATAGAGGGGCGCCTGGGGGGCTCAGTCGGTTGAGCGTCCAACTTCGGCTCGGGTCATGATCTCACGGTTCGTGGGTTCGAGCCCTGCTGACAGCTCGGAGCCTGGAGCCTGCTTCAGACTCTGTGTCTCCTTCTCTCTCTGTCCCTCCTCCACTCATGCTCTATCTCTCTCTTTCTCTCTCTCTCTCTGTCTCTCAAAAATAAACATTTAAAAAATGTTAAAAAAAAAGATATAGATACTTAAACATAATGTTATCCAAAACAAATACGTTTGTAGATGTCTCCGTCCATTCAGGCCGCTAGAACAAAATCCCATAGACTGTGACATATGAGACATACTTCTCACGGTTCTGGAGGCTGGAAAATCCAAAATCGGCATCTGGTGAGAGCCCGCTTCCAGGTTGTGGACCGTCAACTTGTCAGGGTGTCCTCACGCGGTGGAAGGGGCAAGGGAGCCCTCTGGGGTAGAAGGACGCTAATTCCATTTACAAGGGTTCTACTCTTATAACCTGATCACCTCCCGGAGGCCCCCCCCACCCCCCAAACTGGGGGGGGGGGGGCGAGGTTCAACGTAGGAATCTGGGGAGGGACGCACGCAGCAGGCTGTATGGCCGGGGCCAGGACTCAGGTAAGCCCAGGGCACACCTTGTGAGGAGACAGACCCTCACTTGCTGCTGTCCCTGGATAGTTTGTCCCACATGCCTCTCTGGCCTCACCCGAGGCCTGGCCCTGCTCCGTGGGCTCCCATCTGTAATTTAGGGTTCAGAGAGAAAAGCCGCGAAAACAGATTGGCGAGGTAGGGCCAGGGGTATGGTCTTTGAACTTCACGCGGTGGGCACTGGGGAGCCCGTGAAGGTTTACGAGCAAGAAGGGAGATGACTAGAATGTGCTCCAGGAGGGCAGTGAAGAAGGCGGGCTGGCACAGGGGCAGGGCAGGGCAGGGCTTTCCTAACGGGCCAGGTTAGAGGGGGGAGGCTGGAGCAGGAACCAAGAGGGGTTGTCTCGCTGGAGGCAGAGTATTTGGTGTGAGTGGCTGGTGAGGAGTTGGGTCCTGGAATCAGATTGTCCAAGTGTAAATCCTGGCTCTTGCCTATACTAGTTATTGTCCTGGGCCAGCGGATGAATCTGTCTCTCTTGGTCACAGTCTCTTCATCTGTACAATGGGCATGGCAGCAGGGGCCGCCCACCTCACGGGATGTGGCAGAGATCCTATGTGAACAGCGCCTGGCACATGGTAAGTGCCGAGGACGCAGCAGCAGTGAGGACAGTGGTGGGTGCCAAGGGACCCCAGGGTCACCAGCGCCTACAGAGTTAAGCACGCACTGGAACTAAACCTCCCCAAACCAAGGCCACACCCCATACCAATTAAATCACAATCTCTGGGGCGGGGGCTGGGCGTCAGTATGTTCCGCAAGCTTCTCAGGTGTTTCCAATGTGCAGCCAAGCTTGGGAACCATTGCTGATCTAGAACCTTGTATGCCTGAGGCCTGGGCTGGCGTTGACCTTGAAAAGACACAGACAGGCAACCATTTTGTAGCTGGAGGTGAAGCCAGATGGGGGTGGGGGGTGGGGGGTGGAAGGGCGTGTGACCTTGAGGCCCAGCCAGGCACTCCTTTTAGGGCTCCGGGGGGCCTTGCCAGCCTGCCAGCCACTGGCGCCCCCACCCTCAGGCTGGGCTGGAGCCGGGCCGCCTGCACCCGCAGAGGACTCCACGCAGGAGACCAGAGCGGCAGCTGAGCCCGGCTTGGGCGCCAGAGGGAGCTCGTGGGGACGCGCCACAGCTCCATCCCTGCGGCTGGTTCAAACTGGTTTGGGCAGGGTGCGGCCCTGGCAGGCTGCATGCCAGGCCTCAGGCTTGCTGCCTCTGCCCCAGGGTCTCCCCAAGAGCTAAGGACCGGGGACAGGGCATTGGGACATAGCCAAGCGCCACTGAGAGGCTAGGAGATTTTTACACCTTCAATCCCCTTTGTTGAAAACCATTGATTTGGCCTCCCATGGGGGGATCCCTGGGTAAATGCCTGCAGCAAGGGGGAGCCCCTAAATGGGGGTCATTCTCCGACTTTGGTGTGCATCAGAATCCACTTCACAGCTGTCACAATGAAGATGTTTAACCCCCCAAAGATTCTGATTCAGCAAGTTGGGGGAGGGCTCCAGGCATCTGTATTTGTAGCACAATGTTTCTAAGGCATAATCACACGTTTAGGGAGAAAAAAAAAAAAAAGACTGAAAACAAAGTGACTGTTGGCTACCCAACTCAGTCCAGGGTATGGATCCTTCCCCAGACGCCCCATCTCCCGGGAAAGCGGGGCGGGGGGGGGGGGGGGGGAAGGTGCTGGTTAATCTGCACTTTTAGATAATATCCCAGCCTTTTTTGTTTATTCCTTTTACTTTCGATGAGTCATTTTGGGCATTCACTAGGTTTAAGTGTTACAACAAACATCAGCAGAAGAAATAAAACACTACAAATACCATGAAACCCTGTTCATAACCCTCCTGGGTTGGCCATCTCAATCCCCCTGTAACTACTTTCCTGAATGTGGCCTGCCCGGTCCCCACGCACAGTTTTATACTCTTGCTCCGTATGTCTGTATCCATACACAATACAGAGTGTGGTTTTGCATGTTTTTAAAACTTTATGGTAATGGCAGTGTGCCCTAAGTGTGCCTTCTGCAACCTGTCTTTTTTTCTTTTTTCTTTTTTCTTCTTCTTAGCATTATGTTTGTGAATCTCATTCATCAGGGTCTCTTCCGCTAGTCTGAAGCCAGTTCTCGGCTTTTCAGAGGGAGGGCCCCCAGCCAGCCCGCCTGCAGCAGTGAGGGTCTGAGCTTGGTTCCTGCATGTCTGTGTGATGAACTGAAGGGCTCTGAGCGCCGGGGAAATCAGGACAGTAATGAATAGCCAAGTTCAGGTTCTGCGGGTTCCTATCCAATCCCGTAACTAACCACCTGTGGCCCGAATCTTTGCCAAGATTTTTCCAGAATGCGACTCTGACCTGCAGGTCTGAATGTTTGGGCAGGGGTGTGGAGCAATGAGCGGGGGGCAGGTGTGGGAGTGACGGGTTACCCCAAAGACAGATCGAGGACATGTTATGCCCCCTACCCAGGTGGTCACGTAAACTATACATTTAGATTCCACGGGGCCGGGAGGGGGACGAGGGACGTTGCGTATATTTATTTACACCCCTAAGCCCAGCTTGATTTTGTTAAATGAATGTGACATTAAAAAAAAAAAAAAAGACGTCATAGGAAAAATTGTATTTCTAGACTTCCCTGGACCTCTTCCCCATTTTTAGGATTTTCCTTATTAGCATTGTTTTGGGAGGATGCACCCCGCCCTCTTCGGCCTCTAGAGGGTCTCAACAAGCCTCCCAGGGGTGTGTATATTGGGGGGGGGGCGGGCAAACCGTGAGTTTAAGAATTCCCTGGGGAGTTTATTCTACAAGCTGCCCCAGCGAGGAAAAGGACCGCTACAACCGGCTTCTCTAATTTCCAGATCTCTCCGCCCGGCACAAACAAGATGCTGGAATTAGGACGGCCCTGGGGGCGGGGACTTTGGTCTTTAAAGGAAAGGACCCCGTTCTCTATCCTGGATGCTGGAAACACCCCGGGAGCTTTAAAAAAACTACTGATGCCCAAGCCCCACCCCCAGGGATTCCGGCTGAATCCGCCGGGGTGAGGCCTGGCTTCCGGGCTTTTGAAAGCTCCCCAGGGCATTCTAAAGTGCCGTGGGGGCTGGGAGACACGGCTCCGCCCGGATTCCAATGAAAAGGGGTGGTCTACACTGGCGGTTCTCAAACTCCGCTGTCTGCAGGAATATCCAGGCGAACTTCAAAAAGTGCTGGTGCTCAGGTCCCAACCTGAGGGACCGTGTGCTGGGCCGGACTTTGGAAGTTTGAACAGTCCCAGGTGATGACAATATGCAAGCGAGGTTGAGAATCTCTGCTTTACCAGGTGGTGCGAGGGCCGGGCGCAGTGAGCGCCGCGCGCCACTGGGTGGCGCTGCCCCCTCGGTCCGGTGCTCGGGGAGGCGCGGGCCGCGTCCGGGTGCGCACCTGCCCCGCCTCCTCCAGGCGGGCCGCGGGGCATGCAGCCGGTCGGGGGCGGGGCTCCGAGGCCGGGACCCGGCCACCGGCTCTCCGGCAGCCTCCGCCAGCTGGACCCCGCCGCTCTCCTGATGCTGCTCCTGGACGCCGACCGGCCGGAGCCCGTGCGCAGCGGGGCGCGCGAGCTCGCGCTCTTCCTGACCCCCGAGCCCGCCGCAGAGGTAGGGAGCGGGGGCTGGAGGTAGGGGAGGTGGGTCGGGGGAGGGGCGGCGGTCTACGCCCTGGCACCCCGGGGGAGGAGAGGGTGGGTGCGGCCTCCGGCGCGCGGGGACCCGAACCCGAACCCTCGGCGTCCCCGCAGCATCCTCGCGCGCCCAACGCAAGGGCCCGAGGCTCCTCGCCTTTCGGAGAGATGACGGCCTGGCGCCACCCAGAGATGCGCGGCAGGTCTGGCCTCTCCCTCTTTCAGCCACAAGGCCCCCCGGGGGCCCAGAGTCGCCTCGCATCCGGACCCGGGCCCCCAGCATCGGCCGGGCTTTGGGGAGGCCGCCCCCCGCCCCCGGTCCTGCCCCCGGCCGACGCTGCGCTCAGAGCCGGGTGCCAGTGGACAGGGAGGAGGCGAGCAGCCTGCGTCTGTGCGGGGAAGTACCAGGCCTCCTCGGTCCTGCTGTTGCTAAGAGGGAAAATACCTCGTCTCTATCTGTACTTTCTATTTTAAAAGCACAGAATAAAAAGTAGATCTGAAACTAGGCCCTTCATCTTCCAGCCGAAGCCAGTCTGTTAACAGTGCCGTGAAAGTTATTTACCCAAGTGCACCAGGAGTTATTTAAGGGTTGAATTCAACTCATTCTCTTTTTAAATCTCAGAAGCAGGACAGAAATACATCAAATACAGAGGGAGCACCCCTCTTCCTGCTCTCTGCGCCCCGACTCAGGGTCCCCGAGATAACTATCACTAGACATGTGGTGTTGTACCTCACCCGAACCAAACGCTTAGAAAATGCATTTACAAGTGCGGGTGTGCATGTATCAATAATACTATGTATTCGTTTTTACAAAACTCTGCTTGACGTAGTAATACCGTTCTCCAAGTGGCTTTTCCCCCCCCACTCAAAATAGCATGGACAAGTGGGGAGTGACTGCTGGTGATAAAGTACAGGGCTTTTTGGGGTGACGAAAATGTTCTGGAATTAGTGGTGGTGGCTGCCCAACTTTGTGAATATACTGAAAACCACAGACCTGTGTGCTCGTAGAGGGTGACTTTTATGGTATGTGACTTACATCTCAATTTTACAAAATCGCATGGACATATTTTCATGTCTGAATGTATCCGTAAGAGCCGTCCAATAGAAATATAATCTGAGCCACAAATATGAGCCACTCCTGTAATTTTAAATATTCTGGGAGCCACAAAAAAAAAAAAAAAAAAGGAAAAAGAAACAGGTGAAAGTAGTCTCAATATATTTAAAGTAACAGTTCCTCCAAAATATCAATCACTCCAACATGTAAACAATGACCATGTAAAAATCTTAGTGAGATTTTTACTTTTTTTTTTTTTTTTTTTTTTTTGGTACTAGCTTTTCAAAATCAGGCTTTTATATTGAACTTACAACATATCTCTCAGTTGGGACCGGCCACGTTGTGAGTGTTCAATAGTCATATGAGGCCGGCGGCCTCCATGTTGGAGACTATGCTCCATCGTTCTTTGGCTTCCCCGTACCCCACAACTAAATGATAATTACTCCTATTTCCTGGGCCTGTTCACAGACTGTGTCGTTGCTCCTGGCAGTGACCCAGGGCTAGGAGGTTGTTTGGTTAATTAAAAAAAAAAATTGTTTTAATGTTTATTTTTGAGAGAGAGAGAGAGAGAGAGACCAAGCACAAGTGGGAGAGGGGCAGAGAGAGAGGGAGACACAATGTGAAGCAGGCTCCAGGCTCCGACCTGTCAGCACAGAGCCCGACGCGGGGCTCGAACTCCCGAGCTGTGAGGTCACGGCCTGAGCCGAAGTCGGACCCTCAACCGTTGGAGGCACCCAGGCACCCCTTGTTTGGTCGATTTTATAGCTGGGAAAACTGAGGCCCACACGTAAGTGACGTCCCGTGGAGGTACCGTAACTTATGAACCGTGCCCCCAGGAATGGGCATTTGGGTTGTCTCCGGGTTTTCACTGGTGTAAGAAGCCTGAGCGTCGTCCTGTTCCTTCTCTCCCTTGCTCTCAGCAGAGAGATGTCGTGCCCAGCGGCTAGACCTCAGCTTCATTTTGTCTCTATTAGGGACAGCCTTCGAGAGAAACTGCATGCGTTAACTTCATTTTCTCACTCAGGGCTCTCTTTAACTCAGACGCGGGCTGGCTCACGCTCGTTTGTAAGGGATGTAATGAACAGCCCAGCTCCCTGCAGCTCCGCACGGCAATAAACCCACTGAGAGTGCTTGCTGAACTTTATTTACCAGAAGCAGCAGAAACTGCCGGAGCACAGTCACTTGCAGCCTCTGGTTAAGGCTCAACCCACTGGCAGCTCCCCGCGCTGAGGCTGTTTGCAGATGGGCCAGTGAGCAACCTGGAAAAGGGAGGTCTGGTTTGGGAACAGGACTGGACGGCGGGGCCCAGGGGCGGGGGAGAGCACTGAAACAGGCAGGGGCCCTGCCTTCAGGACGCTGGCAGACAACAGACACATAACACACAACCCCTCTAGATGGGGTGGTGAGGTAGAGGGTATCTGCGTGAGTCGGGGAGACGAGGGGTGGGGAAGGTCTCTCTGAGGAAGCTGGGACCTGTGAATGTGCAGGGAAGAGGAAGCACAGGGACGTGACTCTGTTGGGGGTGCAGTCAGGGAGGGCTTCCTTGAGGCAGCGACATTTTAGGCTGAGCCCTGAAGTGGGAATAGGAGTTGGCCAGGCAAAGCGGAGAAAAGCATCCCAGGCAGAGGGAACAAAACTTGCAAAGGCCCTGGGGTGGAACGAAGCAGGGTGCGCCTCGGACAGAAGAGCAGGTGGAGGGGGAGCAGAGGGAGGTGCAGCCGGCGAGGAGGGTGGAAGCCGAGCCCGGCACCGTGCTCTGTCTGCCGGGATCAAGGAGCTGCTACAGGGCGGAGGCGTGTTGACGCTGGTTGGCAGGTGAGTGTTTTACTGTTTCCGGCGCCTTCGGGTATTCTGTTGAGCCAGGTTTTTTGTGTCTTACTTTCTTTTTCTGGTTTGAACTTCCTCTTTGGGGGAGGTGTCAGGGTGGCCTCCAGAAGCTGCTCCAAGATGGCAGGGAGAGGTGTTTGCCTCTTGGGTGCCCTCTGTCTCATGAGGGGAGGGAGCTCAGGGTCCTCTCGAAAGGCTGGGTGCCGATAGCCACCCACAGGTGACTTCCTGGCCAGGCTCTTTCAGAATCCTGTTTGGAACCTGTGCTGGAACACAGGATGGGCTTGGCCCACAGATGAGGTTCATGGCCTAGATGGAAGGAAGTCAAGCCAGCACTTTCTCATGCCCAGGGGCTTTGCTTGAGTGAGCAGAGGATGACAGGGGACAAAACATTTGGGTCTTTTAACCACAGGTGGATTAGATCAGGGTTTGCAAACTCGAGGCGCAGGGGTCGAATCCAACACTGATGTGATTGGATCAGTCCACATGGGGTTGTTTAAATAGAATTTTCATGAAAAATTCTGAGTTTCTTGTTTATTTAAAACATCAATCTGTTCTTTTTTTTTTTTTTTTAACGTTTTTTTATTTATTTTTGAGACAGAGAGAGATAGAGCATGAGCAGGGGCGGGGCAGAGAGAGAGGGAGACACAGAATCGGAAACAGGCTCCAGGCTCTGAGCCGTCAGCCCAGAGCCCGACGTGGGGCTCGAACTCACAGACCACGAGATTGTGACCTGAGCTGAAGTCGGACGCTCAACCGACTGAGCCACCCAGGCGCCCCTGTTCTTTTTTTTTTAAAGTAAGCTCTACACCCAACATGGGGCTGGAACTCACGACCCCAAGATCAAGAATCATATGTTCTACCGACTGAGCCAGTCAGGCACCCCTTAGTCGATAGAGCATGTGACTCTTGACCTTGGGGTCATGACTTCAAGCCCCACATTGGGCATAGAGCTTACTTTAAAAAATAAAACAGGGGCGCCTGGGTGGCGCAGTCGGTTAAGCATCCGACTTCAGCCAGGTCACGATCTCGCGGTCCGTGAGTTCGAGCCCCGCGTCGGGCTCTGGGCTGATGGCTCAGAGCCTGGAGCCTGCTTCCGGTTCTGTGTCTCCCTCTCTCTCTGCCCCTCCCCCACTTGCACACGTTCTCTCTCTCTCTCAAAAATAAACATTTAAAAATAAAAATATTAGCTGATCTGGTAAATGTAGGTCCATGTTTCCGAGTTTGGGCCCCGCTTGTCACAGTCTCCGCTCCTCCCTATTTAAAACAAAATTTTTGTAAATGATTATTTATGTATTTTGAGAGTGGGGGGAGAATACCAAGCAGGCTCTGTGCTGTTAGCACAGAGCCCGATGCAGGGCTCAATCCTGTGACCTTGGGCTCGACCCCACAGTCTTGGGATCGTGAGCTGAGCTGAAATCAAGAGTCGGACATTCAACTGACTGAGCCACCCGGGCGCCCCTCCCCCCCATTCCTGTACTGAAGCCAGCGTCCGTTATCATTTACCCTTGTGCCTGGACTTTTGATTTTGCTGCCGTCGTATGGGGAGGAAACAGAACAGCTTCTCCCAGCCATGTGTTTCGACTAAAGAAAACCATAAACTAGTCAAAGATGCCTTGAGTTTCTTGAAAAATGTACAAGAGGCTGCTTCTTTGTGAGAGCAGTGGATACTCTGTTATGTCCAACCTGCGTGTCCCATCCTCATGAGCTGCTGGCTTGCTTTCGGCTTTCAGGTTTGGGATGTTCAGATGCCCTGTCTCCAGAGGTAGTTCTGTATTCGTTTACTCCTCGGATCCTTATGGCGAAGCTGCTGTGTGCCAGGCACTGTGCTGGGCCCCGCGGAGAGGCCTGTGGGGCACAGGGGGTGCCTGCCCTCAAGGACTGTGGGTGCGGTCAGGGAGATGAGCAGACCAGTAACCACCAAGCGGAGCAACTACATGGTGATCGGTGCCATGAAGGAGACAGCGGGGGGGACTGTGACAGAGATGCACGGGGAGGGGTGGAAGGAACTGCCAGGCCAAGTTCCAGCAGCACGGGTATGGCCCGAGGGGGAAACATGAGAAGCAGAGAGGTGCTCACGTGGGTGGACCTCAGCG